CTAGCTACTTTTCTTTCCTAGATCTAGCTTTACTAGCTCGTCTTTAATAGTCACCGACTCTAAAAGGACGTTAAACCTAAATAAATAATTAAATAAATAAATAAGCCCCGCCTCAACACCGCTGTCGTGTCGTCATGGAGAGTTAGAAATGTCCATATACTGCACCCCAGTAATAAACGTATAAGCATGAACGGCGTACAGTGATCCCGTTGATGATCGGGCTAGTAGTGGCTAGAAGGGAAATAGAGACCAAATTAAAGAAAACAGAGTTCGCAAAGACGCGAGAGCGGCGTAGCCATCGTTGGAATCGGTTCTTTACCGCAGAAAAATAGGCCAAGGAAAGGAAAAGAAAGAACAAAGCAAACACCCATGCGCGTAGTAGACCAAATCTCCCGCATACGCAGCCCAAAACTCGATCAGGTCGGTAGTCCAGCGCAGCATACATGTCCCCGTCTACAAAACGCTTCAATCCTAAACCCTTCAGCCGCAACAGCGGCAACCCCATTTCCCTCCCTATCCGCTTCAGTGCTCACTACATCAGCTGCGCCCTAAGCCTGTCCCCGCGTATAGTCGCCCAAGCCCGATAGCCTTTAGTAGCTGCAGGCGCTAGGAAAGCGAGCATACAGAGCGTGAGGACGATGCGTATAGTAGGCTACAGGAATAGGGTCAGAAGGGCGATGTACAACAGGATGGCGATAGCGTGGGCGTTTGGAATATCGTCGTATGTTGAGTTTGTATGGTGCGGTTGTTGGGTAGGGGGCATGGTTACGTTTTGCTTTTTTTATTAGTTGGGTGCAGGGTTAGGGTGGGTGTTTAGAGTTTTAAGTTTTGAGTTTGGATTTCGGAGCAAGAATCGTTGTTTATAGTGAGAGTGGATAGGGACAGACGGTGGGAAGTTGTCGTATAATATATGTGCGGTAGAATAACATGCTGCTGTGTTTTCTCTGAGTTTCGCTAGAATATTCTAGACATAGTGCCTTAGTTTCTAGAAGAGAGGCATTACTTCATCGTTGAGCATCGAAAGTTCCTCATGCTTCGATTACCGGAAACTTCTGCATGTCTCAGGTATCTTTGTCTTTCTAGCACGCAAACATGTCATCTTTTTAAGACACAGAAGCAAGCGCACTGGCAAAGCGGCACAGTGCACAAGCTGTTACCTTTCGCTGCGATTCTCTTGTCAAATCGCTGATTCCTTAACGCTCTGCATCTTCTGGGTGGTTCTCGCCAAGCGGAGAATCATGATGTGGAACTGCGACTGAGACAAAGCAGCTGCACCGTTTTGACAAATAATGTTTTGCTCATCAGACAGACTGCAAGCAAGAAATCTTGCCACAACATTCTAGAAGCGCAACCGAGTGACCCTGTAACATCCATGACCTACAATCTCGATCATTGAAGCCAATAATGGGCACTGATAACAGTTAAATGCAGTTACATCCAGATGCGCTTGTGATGGTATTGGAAGAGAACTTCGCCTTTTCGTACTTATCAAGGTTGATATTTAGTGAGATTAACGTAACCGGCTAAGTAAATGGCTGTTACATTGTCTCCTACCCATGGTGGAGAGGAAACTGGACTTTGTAATGTAAACGATTTTATGCGCTGAATCTTTCTGGAACTTTGGTGGGATTGCGTTTGTTAGATGTGTATGCGAAATTGCCGTGAGTCTTGGAAGCCGTGCTCTGTACGCGTTGATGGACCTTGATTGCTCTGTTGATGTTAACGAAAACTGTTAGTGTATGCCGGAAATGATTTGGCAAGGACTTAGGAGTAAGTCTCATGACTAAGGGTTTGCTGGAACCGTCTGCATACGACTCCCTATTTATCAACAACATCGAATTTGCCCTTATGTGCCCTTGCGTTTAGTGCTTGTATATACGAGACCGATGATGCCGTTCTCATCTCCAAGTAGATACTAAACGCCAGCGTCGCCACCGCTATCCTTATCAGCAACACCATTAAGCTCAATCCTATGGGCCGAAGTAAACCTCTTCAATACCGTTATATCTAAAGTAGAAGCCGAATCCAACTTCAGGCCTAGGTCGGCAGTTTTTCCTCATCCGTTCAACTCCAAAAAGAAAAACTGTACATTGTATTTCTACCAACTTCACAAAGAACGCCGCCGAACCCTCATTGTTGAGAAAGATACTAATACTATTAATGTTTATATCGTAGAAAAATATAATCCAAATACGCGCGCAGGTCTACGCTCTCTCTCTCTCTTCGACGTTGAGGGCGACGTATTACACACATCCCCTATCAGAGAAAAGAAAACACCTGAAAATACTAGAAGGACAGGAGTTTTTGCGTTCTACGAAGAGTTGTACATGCTGGAAACGTAAGGCAAAGTAAGACACGCCGGTAGAACAGCGGAGTACCACTTCAGCAAGCAGTGTAGGATAGAAGAACAAGAGAGATAAATAGAAATAACAAATCCTCCAACCTCCCGGACCGTCGGGTGGAAACGCAGTGTCGAAGCTATTCGTATGCGTATAGGATTACAAATAAGCGTCTAGAAACCTGCAACCGTCAAAATTAATGCTATTGAGAATCTCCTTACGCGTTGTGACTGGTTAGATTTAGTATTTTTAGCTACCTTTCCTCGGATGTATATCCATACGCTTAAATTAATAGCATTAGAAAAGCCTTACGCCCGTGTAGATACAAATCTTCTTCGAAGCGCATGAAGAAACGGAGCAGGAGAGCTACTAACCACAATCACTTAGTATCTACCCGGACCTTCAGTCCTTTTGTGTGTGTATCTCAACCACGCGGATCATCTCAAACTGTTTGGTTACACGCCCTCCAGAGAACATCTGCGAAAGAAGCATGTAAGGGTCATTTTAGACGTGCTAAGTAGTATAGGCACCTTGCAACGTCTCCCTCGGGCGCTATTGTTATAATCCATCTATGTAAAGGCGCGCGCTAGCTCACACGCACTAACAGCTCTAATATACCTTCATTCTTACCCAAAACAACTCGCAACACTGCCTTCGAACAACTTAACCCTTCTCTTTCCTAAAAGCTCATCAACACTATAAGCTTTCTCTTTCTTAACCACTATAGACCCTAACCCTAGCCCGCCGCCCTTCAGCAACGCGCGACTAACGCCTTACGGCGCAGTACGCATGCATTCGTACGCAGAGCTAAATACTAACGAAGCGACTCTAAGCTTAAACGCTCAGTTCCATGGCCGAACTTTTAGCTTCACGCTCCCGCCTAGCGTCACGAGCGCGCGTATCCGCGCCGAGATCCTCCTCCCGGCTACGAAGAGAACGACGGAGGAATACCTTATTGCGAACCTCGATAGCTCGGGCTTTCAGGTCTTCAGTAGAGACGCGACGCCAGAGCTGCAGTCTCCGGGCGCTTTAGAACAGTACCCCGCTACTACTAACGAATAGGAATACCAGGGTGATTTAGATCCGCATACGCCTACTGCGGTTCAGGACGCCACTGTTCATAACAATGCTCGCGATTCTGTTTATGAATTGACGGCTCAGACTGCGGATTTAGACGAGCGCTTCCGCAAGCGTGGAAGCACTAACTTCTTAAATAGGGGCGACTTTAACGGTATAACTAATCCGATCCCTCGTCCTGCGGCGGCTGCGTCTAGATTAGTTCGTTCTTCTAGCTTATACTTAAACAACACCGCGTCTGTACCTAGGCCAGAGCTCTCTTCTAGCATAACCTTCAACAGCGCGGGGTCTAGACATGCTGATACTGTTAAGCAGCACACCTATACTCCAACTTTGCATAATATGCCCGCTTCACAGACCAAACTCCCTGCGCATTATCGTAGGCGCGGAAGCGTCGACTACTTAAGCAGGGGAGAACTAGGGGGAATAAATAGCAATAAATAGCGTAGTCGTCCCTCGTCGCTTATCGTAGGCCTAGTTCCTTCTTCTAGTCCGACCTTGAACATTGGTCAGGGCTTGAATACTGGTATAAACTTGAACATAGGAAATACTACTGTTGTAACCAACTCTACATATTCACTAACTCTGTACGACGCGCCTACTCCGTACGACGCGTCTACTCCGCTAACTATACGTTCTCGAGGCCCAGTCTCCTATAATATCGCTGCTCTAATGAGTTACTTCGGTAGCAACGCGCAATACGTATAGGTGGGCATAAACAGTTACCAGCAGAATGTGCAGATGAACATGAACGCTAACCAGCAAAATACGCAGGTAGGCATGAAAAGTTACTCGCAGGATATGCAGATAGGCGCGACCACCAGTCCAGACTCGCACGGCCACGGCATCCTCGCAGAAGGCGTGCACCTCGAAGATAACACCCAGAACACTCCGCCAGGCCCCTACGGCCGCAGCCTCAAGAGCCAGCGCTCGTCGAAAAGCCTCGCCAAGTCCGCGCTCAGCTTCATGGCGCAGACGCGCTCGCGGCTTTCGAACAAGCTCTCAACCAGCACACTGCCCAGTCCGCGCCTGAACAACAGCGTCAGCGCCGGCGAGCTCGGCTACTGTTACGGTTCGCGTTCACGCCCCCTAAGCATCCAGACGGGCGGCCTGGGCGCGTACGCCGCTGACGCCGTCCAGCGTAGGCACTCCTGCTCACCCGTATGTCTACGAGGAGGCGGCGTGGGCGTTTCCGCCCCGCCACAACCGCTCGCTTAGAGAACAAGCGGCCTTGTACCGTAATCGCTGCGCGAGCTTGTTCGTGCCGTAGCAGGCGCGTGAGGACGAGATAAGTGGTATGGAGGTGCCGAAGAGGCGCCCGAACAAGTTGAGGAAGAAGCCAAATTTTGCTTTTCCCTTGTAGCTAAGGATCGAGATGGTGCTGGGAAAGAACAGAGGATGGTGGTGATGGTATGATGATGGTCACTGGACTTTTGGTCTTGCTGACGGCTTTTCGGTTTTCACTGTCTATGCAGAACCGTTGTCTCAGCTCCAGGCTGTCTAACTGACTTCCGGTACTTTCTGCCCTCCTGCCTATTCACGGAAACACTGATGAACGACGATTGAGACACGTTCTGCCTATCCACGGAAATACTCACGAGCGACGACACGACACGGTTGCAAGTGCGCACGAACAAAGCTGATAACGGCTTAATAGTACCGCCGGACCTTTATCTTGCTGCGTACCTTTTCTTTGTCACGGTCTTATTGAATAACGTCTCTTTCTTTTTTATCACTGCCCCTATCCCCAGTTAAATAATTATTCAAGAGCGCCTTGTGCGACACTCGCTTTGTCTCTAAATAAAGAAAAACATTGGACTTTAGTACTCTCTACTAAGTAGATAGGTACTAATGAATCGATATCCATTTGCCCTATTTACCTGCGTGGTCTTTAGTAATTAGAAAAGAAATAGACTATACTATACTTAAATAATCGTTATAGACCTAGTAAGTTATTAAACACTTCGTAGTTTTTTTATAACGTGCTTAAAAGGACGCCGCGGGACTAAGACAGAAGAGAACGTAGCCTACTCTTATATAGCTGTAGTAATATTAAAACGGCGTTATGTAGCTACTAATATATATATATACTCGCATGGCTTTTTATATTACTCGAAATTAATATAGAATCCGTAATAGCGATTCGTAGTAGTTATCTACGAAACTACCGTAAAAAAGCTAACTAAATAAATAAACCCAGCGTACGACTATCCATATATCTACCTCCCTTAATAGCTAATAACCTAACCTTACGCAACTAATTCATCTATATAGAAAACTATACACAAATTGCTTATAGTAACAAACCCGTTATAATAAGAACCTAGGACTAAAATCTCTTAAAGTAATACATATTAGTATTTAGTAAAGATATACGTAAATAGAACCTACCTCTTCTATTCGCTGTTTCTATACAGCGCGCGTCCGCTTATTCTCTTAGGCAGGCTTACTCGTTCCCCTTACTACCACCCCTAACCTCTTCATGTACGTAGCAGGCATACGGTCACACCTAAACACACTTACCACTCATCGCACATCGCTCATCACTTACCTACAGCGACCTATAGCCGCAGCTCCGTAGCGAAAAGATCCTCCTCGCCATCCTTACACCTACCGTAAAGCGCGCGCAAAGTGGAGGTCGTCGACGTTGGTCTGGCTTTGACTCTGCCCTTGCTGTTATCCGCAAGAGGCTGTCGTACGCGCTCGCTTGATGCTGCGTCTCCGAACTTCCCGCCCGCTTAAACCCCCCAGCTGCAGACGTACTCGTCGTAACAGCAACCGCGCATGTCTGCACCGCGCAGGGGCGTGTTGCTGGGAGCGTGATTCCGTTTGCTGAAAACGCGATGCCGGTGCGTGGGCGTAGGGGCGAGAGACCGTCACTGAAGCTGTACTCCGTGTCTTTTAGAGCTTTAATATATAGATATAGTTCATCCACCCGAACGGGCAGAGGCTGCAGCATAGGCATACGTATACCTACACCCTCCCCGTCCTAGTCTTCCCCGGCGTGGTCGTAGCGAACTACGCTAGTTTCTATACTCTTGTTAGCAACGCCATCACCACTAGCCCTCGGCCCCAAACGCCCTTCCTCCGCCTCCTCTTCCTCAAGACCATCACCGCTAGTAAGCATTAGCGGACGAGCGTTAACATCGCCAAAGACCTCAGCCCCTAGCGCGCCCAACTCGTCTACATACCCTAGCAGCTGCTGGTACAGCGCGTCTGTCTTCGCGCGTAGGGAGGCGATGCTATACTCGCTCTCTTCACTCTGCTCGCTATCGTCGAAAACGGTAACGGCGTTTTCTGCGGTAGTAGTATCGGGGTTAGTGTCGGTATCGATCCGCGTGCGCCTGCGTCTGCGGATGCGACTGCATCTAAGGTAAGGTAGGAGGGCGGTGAATACTGTATCTGTGGTTGTTATTGTTAGTGATGTGGGGGTAGTTATGTCTGTAGCGGCGTCTGTGCCGTCGTAGGCCTAGGGTATAGATGAGAGAGACATGTTGTATTATAGGAGGTAAAGATGCGGAATTTCGAAAACGAACGAATCAAATCGAAACTTCAATTTCGCAAAACCTGCGTAGCTTTTACTAGCGAAGAAGAAGGTAAGAAGAAGCGGAAAGACGAGAATATAGCTAAACAGCCGTCTATCCACTGCATGTATACTACTTATACCCGTATCCTTCCTCTTCATTATCCGCGGACAAAACCATTATTCCCTTTAGCTTTATCTCCTCCGCGAGGCTAAAGCGTCTTTATTCATTTATTCGGTTCGGGGTAAAGCAAGGCAGGCGTTTACGCGTCGCTCACTCTAGTTTAGAAGAGACTGCCTAAGTCTGACGCAAACAGCTGTATGTATAACCGGCGAAACGAATGAATAGAATAGAACAACCGAACAGAATAGAAAGAACTAAATAGAATAAGATAGAAGCACGAGAGCAAGAAAGAGTATGGCACACGATAGCAACCAACTAACCAACTAATTAAGTAAAGATCTTCAGTTTAACATCAGCTGTATGTATGTCTGTAGTTTATAGTCTGAACTCTGTACCTAGCTAGCTATACGAGCAGAAGCCAGCCTTGAGTTTCTGTAGCCACGCCATGCCATAACGACGAAGAAGATCTAGAACCTTGACGCGAACATGCGTGTATGCACGCACGCATGGACGTTGATACGTACTATGCCGCTTTGTAAGTTCTACAACAACCATCCAAAGAAGTACCACCCTAAGAAGCATCACCCAAGAAGCACTACCCCTAAGAAGCACCACTACCCCTCCACTCCACCCGTACCGCTTTGCAAGTACCACCACCACCATCCCAAGAAGCACCCCATGAAGCACCACCTCCCAACCCTCCAGAAAAACCCCACACTAAGGCGCGCCAGTATCCCCGAAAGAAAAGAACGCCAAGCCCTCACAATCCGCCCTCGCATACCTATACTGTGCATCCGCGAACATCTGTCCGCGACGTCCAGCCGGGTTGGCCACAGCATCGCGCACAGCCCTACGCGCCTCGCTGCCGAGCTCGAACAGCAAGGGCTGAAGGTCGACATCAGCGCGGGGGTCGAAGCCAAAGGCCCAGAGTACGAAGCGGCGCATGTCTGCGATGAAGAAGGCGCAGGCGGCCGAGTGTTCTTCGCGCTGTTGCTGCAGGTGAAGTTGGTCGCGCTGTTGCTGTTCGTCGTGCTGCTGGAACACTGGGGCAGCCATCTCGTTGTACGGATCGAAGGCGAAGATGGCGGCGCAGGAGGCGCGCGCGGCAGTGAAGGCGTCTTTGTCGTCAAGGCGCGCGTATTGCCCCAGCGCGTGCAGGTAGGGCTGCAGCTGAGGGTGTTCGTTGACATGCATGTTGGTGAGCGAGGCGTGTTGCAGCCAGTGGGTTAGCTCGATCAGCAGTGGGTAGTCGTCTTTTGGCGGCTCGTCGAGACGCAGCTGGACACGGCGGCGCTTTGCGATTGCGGCTTCTTCTGCTTGCTGGTTACTGAGACTTTGCGACCGCTCATGCGCACTGCGCTTTCCGAGAGTGGTTGAAGTAACATGAGCTGAGGTTTGCTGCTGGTTAAAGTTGAGCTTGCTTGAAACATTATTGCGACCGTTGTTGCTGACTTCATCACGGACAGGGCCTTCATTGTAGGCCTTCCAGAGCGGAGTTTCTGGAATCGCACTGTTATGCCGTTCGAACAAAGAGGGTAGCATCTGCTGTGAGGGGCCCAACCCAAACCCAAGAGAATCTTTAAAGCGCTGTGGCTCTTGCTTCGCCTCTGGCGTCCGCTTGCATTCTACGCAATACGAAGGTGGAATCTCGCCATGTTCCTCTTGGTCAAGTCCCAGAGCGGTCCAGTTCACCGGCTGAACATCTAGTTCGTCGCACAAGTCTGCGAGAGGAAAGTCGTTTACCGGACGGTGGTTGCGCAGGCGTTGGGTGATGGCCAGTAGCCCTTGCCTCGCACAGTCGCTAGGCTTGAAGTAGACGCAGAACGTGCGAGCCTGCGAGAAGGACTTGAAGCCAAGGATCAAGTCGCGCGAGGTTGAACTGTTGGGCCTGATGTTCTTAGCGTTGGTCTTAGGTACTAGGGTGTGGACAGGACCGTCGTGCAGGCAGAAATGGGCACGGAGAACAAGGCCAGATTCCGAGAGACCAGCATTCTCGAGGGCGGATACGACTGGGCCAGCCATTTCAGAAGCTTGCAAGGATTCGTAGGAAAAGACCGGCAAGTCAGAGGAGAACACGGTAGAGAGTGGAATGATGTTGGAGAATTCCATTTCTCGTCGCTTGCGACCGGCGATCTGAACGCGTACATCCATGGAAAACTCAACCATGCCCTGACCTTTGTCGTCGTCATTGTCCAAGTTGACTTTGAGCGATAGCTTCTGCTCCATCTTGTTGAAGGAGGAGAGCGAGCCGAGAGTAACGACCTGATCCGTCTCTGTGTCTTTCCATTCGACAAGAACGCGCTCATTGAGTATTGTTCGGGGTCCGCCATTGCGGTCGGCCATGTCGCGATCGCCATTGTGTCCTGCCATGTTGTGCCCTCCATTGTGTTCTGCCGTGTGGCGTTCATTGTTGTGTTCCATCATGTCGCAATCACCACCGTGTTCCGCCGTTCCGTCGCGTTCGAGCATCTTGTCGCAACCTTGAGCGCGTTCCGGCATGATCTCCTGTAACCACAAAGCCCTATAGTCACATCAGCACTTGGCAAAAGCAGAAGGGGGCAAAAACCTGAGAGTGAAACAAAAACCCCGCACCAGAGAGACTCGAGTCAGAGCTGGTGGGAAAGCCCGCCCACCCAGGCTTCAAGCGAGAGAGCAGCCTTGACTCCAGCCGACCCGAACCGAATGAATTGTTTCGGGGTCGCCTCGATCAAGTCGAGAGAACGCCACCACAAGCCCTGGAACAGCCGCGAACCAGCCAGCCGCCGGGAGCGCAGTACGAAGTAATTCCTCACGCCGGGCAAACAACGGGTTCAGCGTGGCAGATACGCGCGACGGAAAGAGTACTCGCGACCGGGAGTGGGAAACCCGCGACCGAGACAGAACTCGTGATCGAGAGAACTCGCGACCGAAAGGACTCGCAACCGCCGCCGGTGCGCGATCCACAACGAAGACCTCAGTTGCCGCAACACCAACGCATGAATCGACCTGCCGAACGCGCGCGACCAACTGGCGTGCTGCTCGCCAAGACCGTGAGGCAGACGCTTGGGGCTCACTAGGCGCGGCGAGGTGCCCGCGGAGTTGAGCTGTCGAATTGGTTGAGGGCGCGTGAGGGTAAGCGAGCGAAGGTATGCGAGCGAAGAAGGGTAGCCGAGTGGGGGAAAGGGAAGTGCAATGTATGGTGTTGAGAATCGAAAGTCGGTGGTGGAGAGAGAGCGGGGAGCGAGCGCGTGGGGAAAGTTATAGCGCCGGAGCTGGCGCCGTGTTAAGACGCTGAGTCAGGCGTAAGTTTCACACGCTTCCCGACGGTTGTTGCTCGGCGAGGCGTGTGATTGGTTTCGTGGAAGAACGCCGGGCGCGCGCAAGCGAGCTTTGTCGCCGGCGAGGCTAAGCGAGCGCTGAGTAAGGCGAGATAAGCGATCTTATCACATCTTATCGCTTATCGCGTCTTATCGCATCGCTGCAGCCAGCAGCCAGACAACGGCCAGCGGAGAAAACGCAGCGCAGCGCGGTGCGTAGCATGGCAGGCTAGAAACAGAGCCCGAGCCCGTCGCCGACGCGTATCGAATCGCTGGCTGGCAGCTGGCAGCTGGAGCGAAAACGATCGCGCGCCGCGCCATGACGCCATGACGCCCGCCTCAGGCCTAAGCCCGAGCCTGAGCTCCGTATAGCTACGTAGGTAGGTACTGTAGCTCCCAGCGTTATCCGCGTTAATAGACTGATAATACTACGGCAGCAGTCGTCTCCGTCGAGCGCGTCGCGCGCCCTCTTTCCTTCTGACCCGACCAACCGCGCGCCCGCCCACACACCTCTGCCGCACCGCATCGCACCGCCCGTCCAGCCAGCCGCCTGCCTGCCTAGGTATACACACACACACAGAAAGAGAGAGGGAGAGGAGAGGAAGGAGGGGAGAGAGGACTGCTGCTGTTGTTGTTGTTGTGTGTGTATGCGCGCTGTATGCATACGACATACGTCGGAGCTGGCTGGCTGGCTGGCTTGGAAGGACATGGTAAGTACGTAAGTTAAAGCAAGTCGGGCATAATAGGTACGGGGTAAAGCATAATAAGCTGTCAGCCAGGATCACTCCGATAACTCTCGTTTATCAGCCTCATTATTTAGTTGTTACACAACAGCCTTACCCCTGCAC